GATCCCGTTCAGTGAACTTGTGCGCCTCAAATGATTGATCCCACAGAGTAGTAATAGATGGGCGGAGGTCCTTTCCAGTTCGCCATGGCTTAAACAAAGTAAGCATGGTCATGCAATACTGCTCACAGCTACCAGAATCTTTTCGGGGAAGAGACCCACCTACAAAGTTGGGAACAAAGGCTTCATTTTCAGACATCAGTCTAGCATGATGGGTAGAATGGTGTGGGTGGTTTGCATGGAACTTGAAGTGCTTTTGTGGGATAGTAGCCTGGATTTCCTTCTCTAGTTTCATATTTGATTTAGTGGTGAGCAGCAGCTCATCATCAGACTCCTCCTCCTCCTCCTCCTCCTCTTTTTTGCTTGGCCCTGCTAGCTCATCTTCAGATCCAGACTCTTCCTCCTCTTTTGCTATAGCTGTGTGGCTCCAATCTGAGCTGGCTTCTCTTCCTCACTGTCTGACTCTGATTCTTCTTCTTTTAATCCTGGGTCTACATTATAATCATCCTCAAACTCACGATCATTGTCAGTAAAGTACTGGCTAGGATCTATGTCATCCTCAACCTGGTTGTGTTTCTTCTTAGGCCGTGGAAGACGCTGCTTATCTGACAGCCTAATCCAGTCGTACAAACACACAGACTCATACTCTTCAGGTCGCCAAATGTAGTCCAAAACAGGAGACACTGCTACAATTTCTGACTTCAAGGCAGATTTCTTCATGCCTAGCATCACTTTTGACTTTCCCTCACGGTCAATAGCATCAGAGTCTTCCCAGGCCTTCATCACCTCAAAAACATATCCCCTCCAGTAGCATATTCTGAACTTGTGGTTTGTATAGTGGTCTGGATGCTTCAACAAATACATTGCAGCCATAGGTCCCCCAATTTCTGAAGCAGCAGTGAGTGCATTCACAATCTTAGTGATCATTCCACGGGCCTTTTCTCGATTGGTTTTCTGGCTGCCTAGAAGCTCGGTATTACGTGAGAAAACCTCCTCAACGGAGCGAAACATCACATGTGTTTTTAGCGGTGTTTTTGTAATATAATCAGCCACATATGCAATCACAGACTTGATGGCAGTGCCAGAGAGCAAGCTGGTGACATCGTGGTTGCACCGCAAAAGATATGATAGAGCCGGTGTGAATGTGTTCAACATGGGCTCACCCTTTTTCATAACTAGTGCACCAGACTCGGGATCAACTCCAGTAGCCTCATGTGTCTCTCGAGGGAAGCGGGCCTTGCACACCTTGGTTACTGGGTCACGACAGCCTTGGTTATCAAACTCTGACTTCTCAGTTGAAGCTGGCTTAGGTCGCTCATTTTCTGATCGCTGGTTCTTGTTTGCTTTCTTTTTCCCAGTGATTCTGTCTCTACATTTGTGCACATTGGAGAAATATAATATTTCATCCACCTCTGCCTCATATTTGACCCACCAATCTTTTTGAGCCTTGCATGCTGTGCATTTTGAGTCTGTTTCATGTTTCTCTGAGCAACTGGGAGGTGGAACTTCTGGTAGTGTCTCTGTGAGTGGTACGCGATTAGGATTTGCCTGGGCAATCTCTGTCACACGCTTGTCTACAGTCTCCATAGTACCATTCAAAAACTCGCCCTTGTAGCAGCCCTCTAGATATTGCACCATAGCCTGCTGAAAGTCTGAGGTGGGGTCTAAAATGCGATCTCTAATCTCTTGTGGAGTGAGTGCACATTTAATCCACAGCAGCATATGCAAGTGCAGAGTCAAACGGCCCTGCTGTTCAACAGTTCCGTAGTACCCAGCTGTGTCTCCATATAAACCGGGTTTACTAGTGCCCACTCCAAGAACGTGTTTCAGGAACAGGTCAACCATGACATTGAAGAAGCGGGCACCTGCAACTGGATTGTTTGCAATCAGATTGAGACGCTGATCCCTTGGTCTGAACTCTGGTATATATTTCTGATCAGTGTCTGCAAAATATAGTGCCAGAGGGTGTTTGACATCAGTGGGAGCAAATGTGATGAACCAGGAGGGTGCACCAAGATAAGATACCATTGCCCAGATCTCATTGCGCATATACTTTTTACTAGTAATAGATCCTTTCACCTTGTAGTTCACATGGTCCAAATCACTGAGTAGCCTGAAGCAGGCCTTTTCCTCCTCAGTCTCTGGTTTAAAACTTCCCTTAGACAGCCCATTAGCAAGCTCAGTCACAGTTTCTGTGCTGATATTCAGCAGTCTGTGTGCAATCTCATCAAAACGCTTCTTATCAGCAAGAAGATAGCCTGCACTGGTAGACTGCTTGATTTGCTCATGGTTTAAAGCAACCAAGGGAAACAATGGCTCAAGTTGGAAGTGTTTATCATGGTACATCAGCAACTGCTGCTTCCGCTTCTCCTCAGACACATTAATAGTGCCTTTCACATTTTTTAGCCCACCATAGCCATATGGGAAGAGCCACGGAAACATTTGTGGGTAGAGCTGAGGATTGTTATAGATGCTTTCTGGATTTTTTTCCTGACCAATTCCAAGCACCTTTCCACCAGATTTGAAGTGTTCTACAGCTCTTGCCTTGATTTCATATGGTCTGATCTTCCCCAGATGTTCAAGACGTTCACCAGTCAATCCATGCACTACAAATGGACACTTTCCATCATCTACACCTTCCTCTTCCTCTATTCCAGTGACTGCAGCTGCCTCTGGATCAATATTAGACATACTCTTAGTCTGAGTATAGTTCACAATCACTGGAGGCTCATCTTCAGGATACTCTGCCAGATTTTTGTATGAAATGGTCAGATCTGCATAGTCAGAATGGTTGAGCTTAAGCCACTCGAGTGCAGCACTGACTTTCTTTTGCCTAACAAGCATAGGTGTGCGTTTGTATTCCTTTGCTGTGGGCACATCAGGACCCAGAAATATAAATGCAAGCACTTCATCAAGCTCGTCTCTAGGTGGAGGCAGCACAGAATATATTTTAGGCATAGGGAGAGAGTGGCTGACCACATTTGCCTTCATCTTAGACATTCCTGAAATCTGGACTTTTACTATACACATATTGTGCTTTACTCGTGCAATCAAGAGTTTTTCTGTCCAGCTCAAGTCTTTAAGAACATGTGGTACCTCACCTATCCAAAGCCCATTTGCCAGACTGTTTGGTGGTAGCTTTCCAGAGAGTAGATCGGATGCGCAAGATTTGCAGACATTATCACAGCTTGGCAGGAGCACCTTTCCTGGGACATCACAGATAGGATCAGAAAGGGAAGTGCGTTCTACCCGTGTAACTGGCCTTTCTGGAATAAGAATATTGAGATCACATGTAAGCTTGCTGAGTGGTTGAAGTGCTGACTTGTATGTCAATAAACCACAGACTGCACAAGCACCCTCTTGGAAGTTTCTAAGCTGAATGTCTGAGGCAAATCCAGTGATGATCTCACCTAATAACTGAGTATCAGGTGGACTAGGTGGAAACTGGTGCTTTACAGACTTGGAAACTAGGGGCTCATTCAAAGGTAGAAGGGCTTTAGCACGCTTAGTCTTCTGTTTTTTACTATTTGTCTGCACTGGCTCAGTGGGCACAAACACCACTACATATTCAGGGCATGAAATACAAATATGGTTCATTAGAATACTTAACCAATGGTCTTTGGTCTGTCTGATTGTAGCAGAGAAACCTATTGCATGTATTTTAGCCAACGCACTAGGTCAGGTTTCTGTAGTCTGGTAATCAAGTGTGATAATGGTATTTTTACCAATATGGCACACTCCGTCTTCACTATCTCATTGGAAAACACACATTTATGATAGCGGTAGTTCATATTCATTGCTATTTCACCTTGAACTGGATACCTTCGGAGTTCACTTGCTGTCCACCACTTCCCTCTGGTATTCTTAGAGGGAATAACAGCACCACCAAATTGTGACAATATCAGAGTGCTAATGGGCTTAGAAGATGTTTCAACTGCTATCTGAATAGAGTAATATTTGCTCTTGATAGCAGCCCAGAAGTCATGCTTAAGCATGCAAGTCCGCACAAACAAAAGTCTAATAAGCCTCACTTGAGACCGTGGAGAGTTCCAGGTCAAGTATAGTGATACACTAGGCTGCATATAGCCATACATAGACCCAGAATAATGCCAGACAGGTGAGGGGTAGATAACCTCGATGTTTGACTGAAGGCACAGACAGACAGAGCTTAAAACAGAGGTGCTCGTCCAAACCTCATCCACAAGGGACCTGGGGCTTTCAATCAAGGTGCCCAGAGTAACCTGCTCAGTGTAGTCTAAGCTATATAGAGAGTGATCATCTATAGATGTATCAGTAAGGTTGTGCCATAACAGAGGAGAGAAGTGCACTTACAACATAGATTGGAATGGATCTGGGAGAGAGAGGCAGAGTTAACTTGTGCAGAGGTGTGCCAAGCACACTGAATCAGCCATAAAAGGCTGAATAGTAAGGTGGGTTTGAGTGCAGAGTAGGAGAACATTGTGGTTCGAGTTCAGAAGTGAGAGGCGCCCAGAGGCTGCCTAGCCAAAGTTCAACTTCAACCACCATCAAACTCCCATGGTCATGTGACCATGTGGAAGGCGCCAAGTTCTTATCTTAGTCGAAAGCAAGACTCGGTGAAGCGCACTTGATTATCACACCCAGAAGTTCAGCAACAAATTATGAATCAGATTGCAAGAGTGTATATCGAGTTGGTCGTAATGAGCGTGGTGGTAGTACAAAGCATTAGTGTGTAAGTAAAGAAAGAATTAGATGATCGTAAAAGAGTCCAGATATCAGTGAGCAGAGGGCAGTGCAGGAGAGTATGGTTCATGATATGTACATAGGGATGTCCACAAGATACCAGAAAAACAAGGTAGGAGAGAGCAAGAGATGCATAGTGGTAGTGGGTATGAGTGTAGCACGACATACATGCACAGGGAGACAACAATCTGTATAAGACAAGAACAAAGACGACACAAGTCTGGTATCAGCATGATGCACATGCACAGGGAGATGACGATCTGCAAAAGACAACCAGCGCACTAGGTGCTCTCCTCAACCGACACATGAGAGGCGATCTTCACTGCACCGCAGAGGTTGAAGCCAATTGAAGGCTTGTCGTCACTGCCACTCTTACTAGAGTAAGAGTTGCAGGTGAAGTAGACGACAGCCAGATCGTGAGGCTGGAGTGGTTCACCACCCTCACCAGGAAGGCAGCGAGGGAGCAACTGAGGCTGGTTGAGGAGATAGCTCTCGACTCTGTCTTCCTTCTGGAAGTGCGCAGTGGCGTCCCAAACTGGGTCTGAAAGCACAGAGTAAGCACTTGAAGCGCTTCAATGTGTGTAATGGAGAACTTACAGGTGGCATCGGGCGAGTGATACGACTTCACCGTGTCACTCAGATCCTTGATGGGATCAGACTGCCGCACAGAGCGACTAGAGGAACCCACTTCCTCGTCGTCCTCATCTGAGCTGAGGTGGATGCTCTTCGCTGCACTCTAAATTAGTCACTGCATCAGTGCAGACAAAAATATGCACTCACGGACAGGACCAGAGATTGACCCTGTGACAAAAGCACCGACTCAGTATCGCAGAGCAAATAGAGCAAGCAACTCACTTTTAGGCCGAGGTGTCATGGTACTTGCACGTTCAGGGTTGTGCAACGCAGAGTGTGCCCAGAAGCAACCCTGGCTAACAAGCTCATCATTCTTCAAGAGCGCAGTTTCACCAGTGGCGATCGTTGCTTCCTGGTAGTCCATTGCACGAAGAACAAAAGGACCCAGTCGAGCATTATCAGCCTTGCCAAGCAGCTCAAGGTGAATGCCTTTGCCGTATAACGACGTGGCACCAAACTGGAACTCCCCGTTGTTCTCCGTGTGCGCTCTGATCACCATGCCAACAGCATAGCCAATAGCTATGTTGTTGCCAAGAGCCAGGTTGTCGAAACACAGATAGTACGAGTTAGCCTTGAACTTGGAGACCTTCTTGAAGAACTTAGGGTCAGCACATCCAATATTGAAGACCTTCATGCCGTTGCCAGTGTTGGCCAACGTCTTGTAAAAGATCCTAGTGAACACCTGATGAGTATAAATCTGCAGGATTTGATTGAATTATACATACTGTCGTGGAACGGACTCTGGATGTGCCCTATGTATTATTTTTCGCCTTTTCCTCACCTTTTCTCTGCCTGTTACTATATTGGAAGGTTGTTCCCGCGCTTAAGCGCCCGTATCGCGGACTCTCTTAGCACTTGCACTTCGTGTCCTAGCCCTCATCTCGACCTCTTGGTCTTTGTGGGCTAGGTGAGTATCTCGATTGCCTGTATGTATGTAGAGCTATGTTAACTTGGTCTTTGTGGGCTAGACATCCCTCGTGTGACTCTAGTTTGCGTCTGCTTTGCGCCTAGTGCCGGCAACGCCTCTGCACCACTACATCGAGGTCATCCAACCTCCACCTCTACCCATCCACCCCTCCCTCTCCTCCGATTGGCGTTCGCGGCCCGCTCCCGCGTCATTAGGTCGAGATCTAACCAGTGAGTGCTGGCATCAAAGCATCGGATCGCCCCCACTCGTGCAAGCATCGTCCCCACCCTGTGCCACTCGCCCCGCTCTTCCCCTACCCTGCATACCTGCCGGAGTTATAAGGCTCTGAGCGTATCGCAGTCTCCCTGGGTCTGTTGAGCTCGAGTATCACACTCTGAGAACACTACCCCGCTCCCGGCCGACGACTCTATCCGCGCAGTTGGTCATCCCGACTGATTGGCTGCCCGGAAGCCTCAATAGGTGTTCATTTCCCCGGAGCGTACCCTGGTTCCTAGAGCACGGTGGCTTGCGCAGGTCATCAGCACGCGGTTGACACTGAAGACAACCGGCACGTCCACATCGTCCGCAACGAGCGAAACGACCTCCTCTGGCGAGAGTGCGACAACCAACCGTGTCCTCACATCCGTACCCCTGTTACCTACACGACCCGCAGAGCTAGATACGACGAGACCCACACTCCTATCACACCACTCGTCATGGACGTCCAACAGTTTCAGGCCCTCATGCAGGCCCTCACCGCGAACCAGCAGCAGTTGGTTGCCGGACAGGCCAACCTTACGCAGGCGGTGACAGATCTGGCAACCGCGTTCCAGAACCTGTCCACCACCCTCCCCCAAGCTATGACGAATGCGACGGTGGCTTCGAACGTCAACACCCAAGCCACGAAGGACGCGACCAAGGTCGCGAACAAGCCCCAGCCATACAACGGCAAGACCAGTTCGGATGCACGCCGCTTCGTAGCATCCTTCCAAGTCTACGCGATGCAGATGGGCGGCCATCTGAACACTGCCAACGCCACGGGCGGCTTTGATCGCGACGACGCGAAGTGGATCAAGTCGGCTCTCACTCTCCTCACCGACGATGCTGCGATCTGGGCCACCCCCTACCTGGAAACAATTGGTAACGGGCTGGCGGTGTTCAACAACGACTGGACGACCTTCAGAGCGGCGTTCAAAACGCGATTCGAGACGGCCGACGAGGCAGTCGACGCGAAGGCAGCCCTGCAGGCTCTGCACCAGCGTAGCCTCTCCGTCGTCGAGTACTACGCGCGGTTCAATGAGCTCGCGGACAGGACCGGCTACAGCCAGACCGACCTCCGCGACAGGTTCTACGAGCACCTCTCCTCAGAGATCAAGGACGAGTTGGTGCATACTGCTCGCAACACTTCTGCGCTCCCCGACCTTGTTCAGGTCGCTACGGACCTCGACATGCGCATTCGCACGCGCAAGGCTGAGCGTGCGCGCGAACAGGGCAAGTCTGTGGCGACCCCGACTGTCCCTCGTACCGCCACTGGGCAGTTCGCATCTGTGGCAACTCCCTCGACCATGCGCGCCTCCCGTGACCCCGACGCGATGGACATCGACGCTGCCAAGCTGAGCGAGTTCAGGCGGTCGATGAACGGCAGGTGCTGGGGCTGTGGTGCGACCGACCACCAGAAGAAGGACGGCAACCACTCGAACGAGACTTGTCGCTGGTGCGGAGGCCGTGGCCATCGCGAGAGCGTTTGCCAGAGCAAGGCACTGGGCAGGCCACGCTTGGGCGGTCAGCAGCGCGTTGCAGCTACCACCGAGGACAGCCCGGTCGCGTCGACCTCAACGGCGAACTCCAATGTGCAGGGGATCAACGCAATCCTCGAGCAGATGCAGCAGATGACGGAGCAGCAGAAGATCCTCCGTGGCGAGCTTGAACTGCTCCAGAAGTCTTTTCCGAACGGGCCCGCTTAAGAGCTGCGGCAGCGGCGCCCCCACCAAAGGTCTCTTCTTCTTCGTTCCCTGAACCTGTACCTAGCGCATACGATACCGTAGATAGCTGTACGATACCTGAAGCAAATCGATCTGGTTCGCACTTTCGCACTAGCGTGATAGTAAAAGGAAACGATAAGAGTGTTAAGACCGCAGCAATGATTGACTCTGGCGCGACTTCGCTTTTTGTTAGTAAAAGGTTCATAGATAGGCATGGTATTTCGGTGCACCCGTTGTTCAAGGAGATCACAGTGCACAATATCGACGGTACAAAGAACAAAGCAGGCAGTATTACGCATTTTACAAGGCTTACGTTAGGTATGGGTACTTATAGCGAGCGTCTCGATTTCTTAGTTACAGATCTGGGACCAGAGGACATGATTCTTGGCTTGCCTTGGTTACGTACGGTGAATCCGGAGATAGACTGGGAGAAGGGAGAAATGCGGATTGAGACGGACGAGGAGGAGGAGGAACGGCCTGCGTTCGAGCGTATCAACGCGAACCGGGCACAGCGACGGAAGTGGCAGAAGGCAGGAGTGTTGGAAGATGCGAGGGAGGAGGTGTGGTGTGCGGCAGGCTACACCTATTCGACGCAGCTGGCAGAGGCTGCCAACAAGGGGAAACCTCAGAAGACGTTTGAGGAGATGGTCCCGGAGGAGTATCGACGCCACGCTAAGGTGTTCTCCGAGGTCGAATCAGAGCGTCTCCCTGAGTCGAAACCTTACGACCACGCGATCGACCTCAAGCCTGATGCGCCTGAGTCGATCCGCTCCAAGGTTTTCCCTATGCCTCTGAACGAGCAGGATGAGCTGGATCGGTTCCTGGAGGACAACATGCGCAAGGGATACATCACACCTTCTAAGTCCCCCATGGCGTCTCCAGTCTTCTTTGTCAAGAAGAAGGACGGGAAGCTCCGGTTAGTACAGGACTACCGGAAGCTGAACGACGTCACTGTCAAGAACCGCTATCCGCTTCCTCTCGCCTCAGACATTGTGAACCGGCTGCGAGAAGCGAAGTACTTCACCAAGTTCGACGTGCGCTGGGGGTACCACAACGTCCGGATCAAGGAGGGTGATGAATGGAAGGCTGCCTTCGTCACTAACCGAGGGTTGTTCGAACCCAAGGTTATGTTCTTCGGGCTCACCAATTCGCCGGCCACCTTCCAAGCGCTGATGAATTCGATCTTCGCGGATCTCATTGCGCAGGGCAAGGTAGCGGTGTACCTGGACGACATCCTCATCTTCACGGACACCCTAGAGGAACACCGTCGACTGGTTCATGAAGTACTTCAGCGGTTGGAGGAGCACGACCTCTACCTGCGCCCTGAGAAGTGCGAGTTCGAGCGGGAGGAGGTGGAGTACCTGGGGCTGGTGATCCGTCAGGGCTCAGTCAGCATGGACCCGGTGAAGGTGAAAGCCGTGCGCGACTGGCCAGATCCTCGTAACCTGCGAGATCTGCGCGGTTTCCTCGGGTTTGCCAACTTCTATCGTCGCTTCATCAAGGACTTTGCTAGGCTGGCTCGTCCCTTGAACGACTTGACGAAGAAGGACGTCGCGTGGACATGGGAGTTCGCGCAGCGTCAGGCATTCCGCGCGCTCAAGGACGCCTTCATCAGCGAACCGGTTCTCGCTACATGGGCACCAGATCGACCCACCAGACTCGAGGTGGACGCTTCTGGATTCGCAACGGGTGGTGTTCTGCTCCAGAAGCTCCCCGACGGCCTATGGCACCCGATCGCGTTCCGCTCAGAGTCCATGTCGGATGCAGAGCGCAACTACGAGATCTACGACCGAGAGCTCTTGGGGATCATCAGAGCACTGGAGGACTGGCGCCACTACCTTGAGGGCCTTCCAGATCCCTTTGAGATCATCACGGATCATCGGAACCTCGAGTACTGGCGCACTGCTCAGCATCTCTCACGGCGGCAAGCGCGATGGTCAATCTGGTTGGCACGCTTCGACTTCGTCCTCACCCACAAGCCTGGGAAGACGAACACGCAGGCAGATCCTCTCTCGCGTCTCCCCACTCATCAGGTCACGGACGCAGAGGACAACCAGGAGCAGGTCGTACTCAAGCCAGAACGGTTCGCTCAGCTAGCTGCAACCATCTGCAGCGACACCGATCTGCTCGAGCAACGCATCCGTGAGTGCACCAAGCGCGAAGTGGAGGTTAGAAGCGGGCTTGCAGCGCCGCCTCGCAGGATGGCAAGTGGAGTAGCCGAGTGGGAAGAGCACGGGGGCCTGGTGTATCACGAAGGTCGCCTATACGTGCCGGCCGACCCAGAGCTCAGACGAGAGGTTCTTCGGCGATGCCACGACTCAGTCACAGCTGGACACCCTGGACGCAGCAGCACCCTTGAGCTCGTCAGCCGACACTACTGGTGGCCTGGGATGGCGCTCTTCGTGGCCAAGTACGTTGCAGGCTGCGAGCGCTGTCAGCGCTACAAGCCAGCTCCACATCCACGCTCCACCCTGCATCCGCACGACGTCCCTGAGGCCCCCTGGAAGGTGGTGGGAGTAGACCTGGTCACTGGGCTCCCAGAGTGCGAAGGGTTCAACGCCATCGCGGTGTACGTCGACCACTATAGCAAACAGTGTCACGTCCTCCCCACACGCGACAGCGTCGACGCTGCCGGCATTGCAGACCTGCACTACCGCGAGATCTTCCGCCTACATGGTGTCCCTCGGAAGATTGTGTCGGACCGTGGTCCCCAGTTCGCCGCTCGCGTGATGCACGAACTCTACGGCAAGCTCGGCATTGAACATGCGCTCACCACCGCGTACCACCCTCAGTCTAACGGACAGACCGAGCGAACGAACCAGGAAGTGGAGCAGCACTTGCGCCTGTTCGTACGCAAACGGCAAGACGACTGGGTACGCTATCTGCCAACAGCCGAGTTCGCGCTGAACAGCCGAATCCACTCTGCACACAACCACACTCCCTTCGAGGTCATGTACGGGTACAAGCCAGACTTCACGGTACCAGTGGGAACAGAGACTCGCTTCCCTCATCTCGAGGATCGTCTAGAGGGCATGCGCCAAGCACAGAAGGACATTGAATCAGTGCTGCGCGCAGGCAAGGCGAAGATGAAGGTCCACTTCGCAGAGGAACACCCTCGTGATCGGAAGGCGTTTGAAGTCGGAGACAAGGTCTGGCTTAGCGCAAAAGACATCAGTGTGCACCAGGCAACGCGCAAGCTCGGTGTCCGGCAGCTGGGACCCTACAAGGTGGTCGAACGCGTGGGTGACCTAGCCTATCGTCTCGAACTCCCACCCACGCTCAAGATCCACCCGGTTGTACATGTGGATCGGTGTCCAAGTATGGAGGAAACGAGGTGAACGGGCGACGAGCACCACCGCCAGAGCCAGTGGAAGTGGACGGAGAGGAGGAGTACGAGGTGGAGAGGATTCTGGACAGTCGGTTCTTCAACCGCCGGCTTCAGTTCCAGGTGCGGTGGAAGGGATACGGAGAGGGGGATGACTCGTGGGAACCAGCGGCGAATGTCGCCAATGCCCCAGAGAAGGTCGCAGAGTTCTACGAGCGCAATCCCAACGCGCCTCGCAAGATATCTGCAACTCTATTCGCCGCTCTGCCATGGAGGAGGGTTGAGCACCCTGAGCATGCAGAAACGGAGAAGGAAGACTGGCAGGAGGGGAGGATCATGTCCATCCGGGACGGATGGGTTTTAGGAGGGGGGTAATGTCGTGGAACGGACTCTGGATGTCCCTATGTATTATTTTTCGCCTTTTCCTCACCTTTTCTCTGCCTGTTACTATATTGGAAGGTTGTTCCCGCGCTTAAGCGCCCGTATCGCGGACTCTCTTAGCACTTGCACTTCGTGTCCTAGCCCTCATCTCGACCTCTTGGTCTTTGTGGGCTAGGTGAGTATCTCGATTGCCTGTATGTATGTAGAGCTATGTTAACTTGGTCTTTGTGGGCTAGACATCCCTCGTGTGACTCTAGTTTGCGTCTGCTTTGCGCCTAGTGCCGGCAACGCCTCTGCACCACTACATCGAGGTCACCCAACCTCCATCTCTACCCATCCACCCCTCCCTCTCCTCCGATTGGCGTTCGCGGCCCGCTCCCGCGTCACATACGTTGGATGCACCGTGGGGTAGTGCTTCGAGGTCAGAAGCCTACTAGTGGGGCTCACGTGCAGTGGGTGAATGTAGTTCACCATGTACGTCTTGCCGCTACAACAGAAAAGTCAGCAAAGAGAGTCCTAATTAGAATTAAAAAAACATGACTCACTCATTCTCAAAGTCAGGCAGCCCATGGCGAATGTTGGCGATCGTGGTGCTCCTGTCGATTGACTGCTGAACACCCCAAAGCTCGTGCGGTACCGATCTGTAAGAAGTGTGAGTAGAAGTTACTACAACTAAAAATGACTCACTTTGAGGCCTTGTCCTTGAGCTTCTGCATGTCGAGAGGCTTAGGCAACACCCTGATAAGCAGTGCAATGTCAGTGAGAGCACCACTAGGGAGTAAGCTAGATAAAGTAACTCACAGGCGTTCAACTTTCACTTCCGACAGGTCTGTGGTCTGGGTTGACGCAGACTTGTACTTGATTCTACACAGATGTTAGCAGAGATCTGAGCACTATAAATGAGAAGCTTACGAGAAGCGGGCCTTTTTTGTGGGAGACGTTCTGGAATATAGAAATATGTCAGAAGTGTGTACCAAAGAACAGGGAGAAGATGCGTACTTGAGAGCGTCATCACTGCCTTCATCTTCAGAAGACTTGGAGCGCTTGCCTGCCGCCTTGAAAGCAGATACAAGACTACCACTAGCACGGGAGGCAGTGTCAACCAGGCTGTCAGCTTGCACCTTGACGTTTCTCTTCTTGGTTGGAGTCGAGCTAGAGGGCATAATAAGCG